AGTTAAATGATTTGCTAGCCATGGTAAAATACCCTACACTAAAGCAATTAGATTATTTCATTTCAATAATAGGAAGATAGCCTGTTAAGTGAGTTTGGCGATGCGATCATTCTTCACTGACAAATAAAATGATAAATAAAATGAAATGAAACATCAGTACACATAAGCATGCATAAAAGGCGAAACGAGTCAGAGAGTGAGAGAGAGAGAAGAGAAATTATTGCGGACAAAATGGTGAACAAATGCAAGCACATGTATGTACACATAAATCTGATCCTCTAATATAGTGTACATGTAAAAATGGTCTTTGCTAAATACAGTGCTATACTCACAATCTACACAAATTCAAATACTAGAGGTGCATACAATGTACATTTACTAACCTTCAGTGTATCACTATTGGTTTGTCATCAGAGTTCCTCTGACATTTCTCTACTTGTTCTCTCACGTCCAAAAAACCAACAGCAAAATCAGGTACACATTGGAACTGTTTAACATGTTGACTATTACCTTCAGCATCCTACATGAACATAGGAGAAAATAGCAGAATACTGTATGTACAATGTAAATAAAGTGCAATAATGAAGAGTTATAGCCACTAAAAATGCAACAAAACCATTCACTAAAATTTAGCACAATTTTCATTTTTAAATGAGATAATTATAGATTATGCATAAACTATGTACATGTACATATCAATACAAATGAAAGTAAAGGTACATGTACATGTATTACCTCTCACTCTGCTGTCAACTATCTTGAATTTCTCAAGTATGTACAGCGTAGTCTGGGTATTCCTTCATTAATTGAGTGAAGCGTTGTCTCAAAGAATCAGTACATCTCAGTACATGTACCAGAATCAGGCCACACATTGCCTAGAAAGAAAGAAGGAGAAAATCATAAAAGCACAAAGCTCCAGTGCCAATTCCAAAAAGGATCACTGTACTGTAGCCCATGGTTTTTTCAAAAAAATGGCCCCAAAATCACCCCCAATTTTTATTACATTTTAAAATGCATATTGATGTACTTACGCTATGTAGAAAGTTTGAGCTGATTATGGTTCAAATTTTTCAAGTTATGACCATTTTTAAAAATCGGCCAATTTCTGAAAATATCCCTGTACTATAGCCCATGGTATTTTTTAAAAAATGGCCCCGAAAGCACTTCTAATTTTTATTACATTTTCTGATACATATTATTGTACTTATGCTATGTAGAAAGTTTGAGCTGATTCTGGTTTAAATTTTTTGAGCTATGATCGTTTTTAAAAATCGGCCAATTCCTAAAAATATCCCTGTACTACAATGCATGACCCACGCTTCACTCCAAAATCAAATCAACTTTTCATTACATTTTCTGATACATATTGATGTACACATGTACTTAATTAAGTAGCAAATGCTATGCACATTCTAATACACATACATTTACAATTTTACATGTCCATTCATTATTAGTTAATATTACACATACATGTATAACTTACTCTTCATTTCTCTTCAAGGTTTGTCAGTATTACAACTGTCTCCACATTCTGTTCCACCAGAAGTCATCAATAAAGTGAGGAACTGGACCCTGAGATGTACAATGTAGGCATTTTCCTTTTGATTTTCCTGAGAGAAGAAAAACAAATAGAGAATTAATCCTAAGATATTAAAGACCTAAATCCTTAATGACCACTCAAAATAAGTATATTAAAGCTTAGTAGCAGTTATAATTAATTTTATTTTATGCAAATTAACATCTTACGTCAATGTATGTAGCACATGTAGTTTGTCTTGATATACATCTGTAATCTGACCCAGGGACATTAGGACTTTCAATTAATTTGACACGAGAATGACCATCTAAAAACAACAGTAACAACAACAAAAATAAAAACAATAACAATAATAACAATGTGTGGAGGTGTTGTTTACAAGCTGATATGCTAGTGTACCTGTTCTTTAAGATAATGTACAGCATACATTTAAATATACATGTGCGTGTACATGTACAGAAATAACTCAAATTTTATGCAAAATAGAGTACAATGTACATTTAGGTGGCCAATTTGTGGGAAAAAACCACAGACGAGTAATGAATCATAATACATGTAAATGCAATACATGTACATAATGCAGTAACACACCATTGGTATTCCAATCATTGATGATAGGATCTGGTGATATGAGATGTTAAGCTGCACTTGTACATGTATGTGTTAGGACGACTGAAGGATCTGATAAAAGGCAATAGAATGAAATACCAGGAGAGGCAAAGCAATGTGACCAAAGAGACCAGGATATTATAGTTTCAGCCAAAGGTGAGACATAACTACAGTGGGCTTTAGTAGGACACAGTGCCTGACTAGTCTCCAGGAAGTCTCACAGGCCATTGTTTGGATGTGGGAGGTCATCAAACCGGCAGGGATATGTGGAGTTCGTGACACGTTTGGTGCTAAGTTTCTTCCCCTCCTCAGAGCTCAAACTGAGGACATTAACTTGGTTCATTCAGAAAGAAGGGAAGAAAGCTGGTGAAGGCTCCGGTGCTGCTCGAGTGTAGCATCTATGATTGCAGTGCACTGATTGCCTGAGCCACGTGGGGAGGAAGGTATGGCCATGTCGAGGTGGAGCTACTCATATAGACCGGATGTTAAGTGAAATTCAAATTCTAAGTTCAGTAGTGCTGCAGGACCATAGATATGCAGGAACCAAATGCAATAGCATTTGATCGTGTCATTGTAAGTGGTTACTGATGATTCATTTAAGGGCCATTACAGCACCATGAGAATCTTGTTATTATTGAATGGAATCTTGGTAATTATAAACTATCCTTCCATGTCCTTGGCAAAAATGAATTCAATAGGAGTGCATGTAATTTGCTAGCATAAAACCTAAACCTACAACACTTGTCAATGACTATTAATGCACTCACAAAATCTTGTTTTTTCACTAATTGTATAACATTATTCTTAAACAAGCTACAGTAAAACTAGGGGAGCATTTTAACAGTTTTTAAGGAGCATTCATTGCCGCACAGGTTCATAAATATCATCAGGTGATATTTGACAATCTGCATATGCTTCTTCAAGATTTTCTTCATTTGATTTTTTCTTGTGAATTTTGTAAGGTTCACAGACTTGCATTGGAATATTATCATCACTCCTATTATTATATTTGGTAAAAGGCAAGTCATAAAATAATAAGCTAACTTTGTTTGTTTGTTAGTAGCATATGAACTCTTCTTTCTAAAGGCAAAACAATAAATTTTACTTATTAATATTGTGAATTATACCTTATGAAGTAATTGATATAAATAATAACACTGACAGTTAGTAGAATACACAATACACCTACTAACACACTTAGAGCAATAACAGTATTGGATGTATCACTATTGGCAGTGTTGGATCCATTGCTATTTGAAGGGAAGCAAGGTGATTGTTGTGGTAGTTTTAGGGTCCCATTAACAATAACTGCCCATTTTCCATATCCATTCTGAGTATAGGCACGTACACCAAAAATATAACAAGATGCTTCTTTGAGGTCAGTAATTATAATAAATGTATTGATATTGGTTGAGTTAAAGAGCTGTCGCATTTGAAAATCAATATCATTATCCACTGTTGAACAGCTACCAGACTGTATGACATAGTATCCTGCCTCATATGTGATGATGGGATAGTTTTGTGGAATATAACTAGGTACACTCCATGAGATAACAGCCCATGTAGTGTCCATGACACTGGATAATGAACCAACTGGACCAGGTACTAAAAAC